ATCCACAACGAGGTGGGGATGAGGAAATGAAAAAAAAAAAAAAAAAAAAAAATATCTCCTCTAGCAAAAGAAATGTAGGCATGCATTTGATGAAAGGAGGGAGGTCAATGACAAGAATTTAATGTAACAAGCTGAGGTTTTGGGAAATGTAGAAAAAGCTTGATAAACCATTTGAAAGATTATCTCAATGTCAGTTGAGCAGATTGAATCTACAAAGCCAAATTTTACATGCACATGGCTGCCTTCTATAACAAAAGGCAATTGTAATACAAAACAATAAATAATAGAGATTTCAGAAATGCTGAGGTCATTAGGCAAAATCACCAGGTCACATATATATTATTATACTTGGCATACATAATTAAAAGCACATATAAAAAAACTAAAATGTTGATTCTTTTTATAAATTGGATTGCCATACACATGGGACCACAAGGTCAGTGACTGTATGGAACTGTATAAGGAAGGTGTAATCAAAGATGACCGATTAAGTCCTGTTCACACCTAGGCAGCAGCGTTTTTGCGTGTACGTATACATGTTTTCTGTTAGTGCCTTTGAGCGTCTTTTGCGTGATTGTGTGTTTCAGCTGGTAGACTCTGAGACATTGATGTAAATGGGCAAAAGTGCATGAAGACGCACACAAGAAAATGCATAATTTCTTGGGTAACGCGATTCCAGGCGTTTCCTATTCAGTGTATGGTGACAAAATGTTCTGTAAACTGGCAAAAAAATTAAGACAATCATGTGCTTTCTCGACCAGACGTATTTCTGCTTGCGGCCAAACGCTCAGGTGTTAACAAGGCCCATAGGAATGAATGGGATTTCTTGTTTTGTACTTTCAGGAACAGAAAGTGTTAAAAAATGCTGTGGAGCAACAAACATATGTTTATAAAGACTGAATGATGTCTACTGAGGGCAAAAGGAGTAGTCCTGAGCAAAGTACAAATCTATAGTAAACTGCAAGACTGGAACTTCCTGAAAAATGTCCAACAGGAAACTAAAGTTGCAAAAACATTATAAACCCGTTGTAAAATACTTGCAGTGCTAACTATCAAAATCAAGACTCAGAGATAAAATACAATAGTAAGGGCTTGTTCACACCAATTGCATTGCGTTCCAGAGCGGTAGCTGCTGGAATGCACCGCAATCGCACACAAAACTTCCCCCTGCGTTCTGGGGCAGGAGGGGGCATGGCGGAAGATTAAGTCAATGGCACCACAGCCACGCCACCCCGCAGTGCAATTGGACGTGTGGCAAAACTTTGCCTGCGTTCCACTGCAAAAACAAAGCATGCAGCATTTTTTGCGTTTCCAGTGGAAGGGAACGCAGGCAATGTTTTGCCACGCATCCAATTGCACTGCGGGCAGGGGGGGCGTGACTGCGGTGCCATGGACTTCAATGCACCGCCATGGCCGCCGCCGACCTGGAACGAAGGGGGAAGTTTTGTGAGCGATTGCGGTGCGTTCCAGCAGCTCCTGCTCTGGAACCCAATGCAATTGGTATGAACAAGCCCTAAAATTAACTTCTATCTTTCATTATTAAAGCTTAACTGAAGATAGAAGCTGACTGGTTACTATGGGGAACAGCTCCAGATTCTGTCTTCTCTAGTTTTGATAAATTCCCCTCATTGATGCTTAAAAAGGAGAACTATGAGGTGAGTGCTTTTCACTCACCTCATAGTTCTAGCCGACCTGTGACAATGAGACTGTCACAGGTCGGCTCAGTAGATCGGGAGGTGAGCGAACACATACCGGGTTCGCTCACCTCTCGATCCTGTCACGGCTCTCTGCCGTGACAGGGGGAGGGGCTGGATTCCCCTCTCCCCGCTCCGATCTGCCAGCGCTGACTGGCGGAACGGACGGGGGAGGGTGCAGCTGGCTCTGCCTCTAGATAGGCAGAGCCAGCTGTCACTCACGCAGCTAGGCGGATCCAGTCGTCTAAGTCGGGATCCGCTGTGGCATCTCGGTATACCGCGAACTGTAGCTCGCGGTATACTGAGCTTAGGGTGACGGGAGGACGCTAGTTTGTGTCCTCCCGTTACCCTAAGGAGAACTATGGGGAAAAACACTGAGCCCATAGTTCTCCTTTAACAAATGTGTACTACGCTGTAGGTGTCCATCTCACAACAATTTACAAAAACAATCCTGCTCACTGTTCTCTCTGCTGGAAGTCCTTTACATTCTGCTTGCATCTTCTTGGGTATAACTTCCAGAGTTCAGTTCCTCTTTGAAAAGCAGCAGATGAGCTTTAGAACAAGCCCTCACTGACCTCTATAGCTGAAGGCTGAATCCATTTCTTTTGAGGGCGCAATCCATTCGTTACGTAAGGGCAGCACATTTATTTAAATGGCATGCCAGTGCACCAAAACGGACATGAACCATTATCTAGAGCTGCAGCTAACGATTATTTTCAAAATCGATTAGTTAGCCGATTATTAAGTTCGATTAATCGGTTAATCGGATAAACAATCAAATACATTTTTAAAAATGGCTCCAGTGATGGACTACTAGTTTGTATTGAGATTG